CGATGTGACATACAAAATTTGTGCATAGCCTCATTTAAGTGTGAGTTTGATTTAGGATGTTCTAAAACACAGGCACCCTTTCTCTGTCTATAGAGAAAAATGTTAACATGCAGCACTGATGTCAGAAAAAATAATAGGATTTTACAGCCTTAATTGAGAGGTGGGCTATGAATGATTCCAGTAAGTTTACCATAGAGTTATTGTGCCTCTGCCTTTTAATAGTAAACATTTACACACATTTTACATTTACTATGAAATCATTACTGTGGTCCAGGCCCATGATAAGCACTTATCATGGATTATCTCATTTTTCTTCACAACCTCATTACACTGTAAGAAAATTTTACCCATTTCACCAGACAGAAACTTGAATCTTAGATTGGTTCCTCTCTAGTAAGCAGTGGAGTTATGATGGTGACCTGAGCATTCTCATTTAAGTCTATTTTCTTCAAATTATATAACATGATTATGATTTTGACTGGAAATATTTTAAATATATGATGTGTTAATTTTAAGACAATGGACTCTCTAATAGTACTATAGTACTAGTTGTACTATTTTCCTTTAGGAATGTGATGTGTTTTTGTTTGTTTACTCTTTTTTTGTCCCACTTTTTTTTCATTGTTTTAACTTTTTTCTTTTTTTTCCTTGAGATAGTTTATTATTTTGCTTGAGATAGTTTTTCTTCAACTAATTCTTGCTGAATTAATTTTATAACTCCAGTGCATTGTCGTGGCATGATATTATCTTAAGAATGTGTAAGACTCAGAAAATTTGATCAAAAATAACAAAGACTTTTTATTTCCAACTGAATTATCTATACCACTTTATTTTAACCTAAATAAAGTTGAATTTATATTATTGTTTACATAATTACTTCCAAGTTGTATCTTTGAATTAGGAAAATTATTTATTTTCTTTTACTCTCTGTAAAATTCTCCAACTGTGAAAATAATAGGCATCAGTTTAATGAAACGAAATAGAAACAATATAGGAAAAGTTGAAATGAAAACATGGGCATTTTTTTCCATTTACTATACTTTTAATATCCTTTCTGAATTTTAACAATATATTTAAACACAGTTCACATAAGTGGTCAATTAGAGAAGAGCACATTTGTTACATTTTGAAGACAAATTTGTGCTAAATACATTTTGAAAAGTTTTGAATTTACCTTCCACAGCTGGCCTAGCCATTTCTTGCCTTTCTGTACATTCCACTCCCCTTTTCAATTTCCCAGCCCCTCAAGAACATTAGTTTTCCTCATAATATTCAGATAAAACCACAAGTCAATGTAACACCTCAGAAAGAACATCATTTTTGTATCCTAAAAACAGTGTTCCCTGTTTCAACATCTTCTCACCAAGAGATAAGTGAAAAAAAATGTTTTTCCTCATTCTATATGTCATTTATCAAAACACTGAATGCTATCAGTACTGGGTTATTGTCAGTCTTAATCATTTTTTTTAGAGTTCTTTTTTAAATTAATCAATTAATTAACTTATTATTGATTATTTTTGGCTGCATTGGGTCTTGCTTGCTGCGCACAGGCTTTCTCTAGTTGCGGCGAGCCAGGGCTACTCTTCATTGCCGTGGCGGGCTTCTCATTGCTGTGGCTTCTCCTGTTATGGAGCACGGGTTCTAGGCACGCGGGCTTCTGTAGTTGTGGCTCGTGGGCTCTAGAGCGCAAGCTCAGTCGTTGTGGCTCACGGGCTTAGCTGCTCCGTGGCATGTGGGATCTTCCCGGACCAGGGCTTGAGCCTGTGCCCCTGCATTGGCAGGCGGATTCCCAACCACTGCACCACCAGGGAAGCCCTTAATCATTTTTAAGTTTAGCTATTGAATAACTCTTCCTTTGTTACATTATATATGGAGACCCCAAAATCAGATGTTCATCTGTCAGCTGATGAACAAAAGTTCAAGCTCTTTGTGGCACAACTACATAATTCATTTTTTTGGTAGAGTTAACATCTCTATAGAACTGTTTGTACAATAAGTTAGTTTTTATTACTTTCTTTTCATTTTTATTCCTTTCATTAGTATTGAACATATAAAATAAGTATTGGCACATTTATCAATGCTGACAGGTAAGGTTCTTAAAATATAATACAATTGGAAAAATGGATTTGCATCATTGAATGTGCTAGAGTGTGTGAATTTTTATATTAAATCAGACAATGATCAGTGAAGTCAGCTGTGAATGGTAAAGAACAAAATTAAGTCATCAGTAGGATATACTATATTTTATTATTGTATGCTGTGGAAGGTAAGGGAATAAAATGATCTATAGTTATAGAGGTAGATAGAGATATTCAAACCTCTAAATTTATAAGACTGTTATTTAAATCTCCTGCATTTATTCTCAAGAACACAGTAACTGAATATAAGGGACTGTCTGTAATGAGATATGAATAATACTATTTATCCTCTTTCAACGGTTAAGTGTTCAGGAGATTGCATACCAATTTCTAAGATCTCTTATGTCAATGAGTATGTGCTTTAAGCCACTTGTATTTAGAAAACTTCCTTAAAAATGACAAACATTGGAATTTCTTTGTATTAATGTGGTGTGTATACATTTGTGTGTGTTGGGGGAAAATAGTTAAGCTACTTGATAGGACAAGATGAAGATTTAAATGATCTTAAATTCTAAATATTTCCTTTGGTGCCCTAATCTTCCTTTTACTCATTTGTGATTAATCATTTATATTTAATATTAACCATACACATGTATACATGCACGTGCATGTATGTGACACATATCAACATCAGCAATTATTTTCCTGAACAAAATAAGGGATATTCTGTGTCACCACTGGAGAACAGCAGGAGAGGACTACACAGTCAGTGTGGTGTTAGAGAAAGAGTAAATCACATTCCCAATTGTTGCTGTGTGCTCATAGCCAATCTCGGTTATTCTAACGGACTCGTTTAGAAAATATGGTAGAGTTGTCATGATACAATTATGCATTCCCTCCATGCACCTGAGCTAAAGTGTCCATCGCCCTATCTTTGACTATCACCTATAAGTTTTTGATTCCTAAAATAGTAATCCTATCTTCGACGTAACTTCTAAGAAATATATCTACATTGTCACTTCTTCTACTGGATGTTTCCAACTAAGAGTGTTATTCAACTCAGAGTCAAAATAATCAAAACCAGGCTTCCTTACATTCACTTCACAGTGGAGCTTCTTTGGCCCATATCTTAATGTTATCACTTATGCTAGAAACTTCTGTTGCACTTCCCTCCTCCCATCATGTACATTTTCAGTGTTTCATAATCTTGCCCATTCTAATTGTTTTTCAAAATCCATCTTCTTCAGATAAATCATATTGCCACTGCCCCATTCAGACCTTCATCATCTTGATAATGGCCTTAACATCTTCCTTGGTTTGGTTTTCCCCTCACACTCTCCGCTTCTCTTTGTCTTAATATTAATACCTATGGGCTTATACCAGAACATAATATGTTCTGTGAATACTTCAGTAAACAAATAGGGAATATTCTCTGCACTTGTGGAGCTTGCATTCTAATAAGAGGTGTTGGCCATAATCATGTTAAGTGAGTAAATTATACAGCATGTTAGAAACTGAAAAGCACTGTGGAAAAGATAGAACAATGTAAGGAGCAAAGGAAATAATGGTCGGAAGAGGGAAATGTGGGAAGGTATATTCATTTAAAATAGGTTAGTCCAAGAAGTCCAGAGAGAGAGACACTTGAACAAAAACTTGAAGAAAGTGAACGAGTGAGCTTAGAAATATTTCGAGGAAGAACATTCCAAGTTTGGGAACAGCAAGTCAAAAATCATGAAGCAGGAGGATAACTAGCATGTGTTTGGGGAACAACAAAGAAGCCAGTGTTCTTGGAGTGGAGTAAATGAGGAAAAGTGGAAGAGAGGTGAGTTCAGAGAGGTAACAGGCAGCTGGAAAATAGGGCATCTTTTTAGCCATGGAAAAGGGCTCTGGCTTTTACCCTGAGCTAGATGGGAAGCCATTATGTGGCTGTGAACTGTGAAATAAAATGAGCTGAATGATGTTTTGCAAACCATTCTGGTTGTTGTGAATATCTTTTTAAAACACAAAAATGATTACAATACTCCTCTGCTTTAAAATGTTTGGTTTTAAAAAAAAATATCCTCAGGACAAATTTCCAGTCTGACATAATTGATTAAATGCCTCCTCATCTCCTGGTACCATCCATCCAAGACACCCATGGGAAAAAAATTACTCTGCAATATGTGATTCCATAATTAAGTGCTAAGGTTGGGCCCTGCAAACCATAACTTTATAGAAATGGTGAAGTAATACAAGTGGGAATCATTAGGGACTAATTTGTGTGGGTGTTTGAACATGACGTTGATCTTGAGGATAGAGAAAACTAATTAGTCCAAAAGGAGAAAGGTGGGGTAAGGTGAAGGATGCTGTATAAGCAAAGGCATAGAATTAACAAAGTCCAACTGGACAGCAAGATCGCCTGCCTGCTGGGAGAAGTGGGGCAGATGGAAGCCAAGCAGAAGAGTTTAGACATTGATACCACCATAAAAGAACAGGAAATTATAGATTTTTAAGTAGAAGAATAAAACAATAATATCAGTCTTTAGACCGTAGCCTGGTAAATGGTTTTGATTTATTGAGGAAAGATAAACCAACAAAAAACAATTCTCATATGAGTCAAACTTGCTCTCTACCTAAAAGCATGCTCTGTCTTGTCTTGGGTAAAATCAGTGAGCTTATATGAAGGATGTTGTTGACCAAAGAGGGCTTCCATTATTTTCTCTGAAGATTGATGACTGGCCAAAGAGAAGGAAATGGAATTGAAGATAAAGGGCGTCATTTGTCTCCTCTGTGCTTAGGTGTACTGTTGGTGTGTATCAGATCCTAGACCTTTTAGTGATGTTTACTGTCAGATGTATAATATCAGTGTGTGACAACTACATTGAATGGTAAGAACTCGGTAAAGTCTGGTATATAAAGTAAAGTTGATGTTTTGTTCTTTAGGTAACAGAAACACGGACGGGTCCTCTTGGCTGCAGTAACTATGACAACCTAGATTCTGTCAGTTCTGTTCTGGTTCAGAGTCCTGAGAATAAGATTCAGTTGCAAGGTATGTAGGTGAAATTTCATTAATTCTCTATGAGCCTGCATGACAGTTACCCAGTTGTGATTTCTTTCTTCTCTCTCCCTTCCTTCTTCCTCCCTCACTCCCTCCCTCCCTCCCTCTCTCTCTCTCTCTTTCTTTCTTTCTTTCTTTGTTTCTTTCTTTCAAGCTGTATGTGCAGTACTAGGCTTTTAGAGTTCTCATAAAAGGCTAATCTCCTAATTTTTAACTGATATGAACATTCTAGACCAGATGAAGGGAATGTCAAAATTCACTTTACTTCTTAAATTAAGTAATCAGTAACAATTGGAAAATGTATTGTGATAATATTTTTCTTCCATACAGTAATCATTGCCTCAGTAAGTAGCAGCTTTTCCATAGGTCTCCCGAGCTTTGACTTCTTCCTTATAGATTCTGATAAAAATCGTAACCATATTTATGCATACTGTGATGTGAACATTTGACATTTTAAATATAACCTAATATGATAATTAAGGCTTCATTTCTCTTCTGACAAACAGAAATATACTTAAGAATATATTAACAAAATACTTATACTTGCATTATTTCATTTATAGAGATACATTCTGTGATAAAGGTAATTTATCATCTTCTTTCTGTTACTGTATTTTGTGAGATAATTCAGTAGAGGACTTTTTATAATAATAATTTTAACAAATACATATTATCCTAACTGGTTATAAGGATGTGTATATCACTCATTCATACAGGCATGGAAAGGTTATGAATCCACATGTTTAAACACGTACTAGTTGAATAAGTTCAGAAATGTCTTTGTGATGACAGATCATCTAAATTAAGTTGACTGATCAAAGGGGTAGTTCTGAGTTGTTCTTTCTAGTCTACCTTTTTTAATTGCAGAGGTTAGATCTGTATTTACATTATTCAGTTTTACATAAAAATGCTTAAAAGTTTCAGAAATTATACCATTTTTCCTCAACTTTTCCATGTAAAAAATGTAATGGCATCAGGCTCTTTAAATTTACCCTAAATAATAAATGAATTTCATTTATTTTAAATTGTATAAAAATCACAAAGAAAGCACTTAACAGTTTTAAACCTTAAATGCTATCCAATTTATCATTGTCAATTTTAGATTTAGTTATTGAAATATCTTCTGTAATTTAAATAGAAACCCAAACTATCAATATTACTTGTAATTCTCTACTAGTCACCCCTTTTTAAATGTGTGTAATAACTTTCCATCAGAGTATTAACTTTAATAGAAAAAGACAAAGAATGTTTATATCAAATATGTTTATTTCAATTAATTTATTATTAAATTTTATTTATTAACACTATTTATTGATTGTTACTCTTTGTGGATCACTGTGTTCAGTTTTAAAAATATTATAAACACAAAACTTCACCCTCCAATCTTCTTTGAAGAAAAATTAACACAAGGAATAAATGAATCAATACTCCTTATATAACTACTATTTCTACTTTCCTCAATTTTTGTAAGGCAGATATCTGCATCTCTTTCACCTTTTTTATCTGCTAGGCCAATATTTTCAGTTGTCTATTGCAACTATATTTGTACCCCAATGAACAAAGATCCTTCCAAACATAACATTAGTAAATCAATATTGAGACCCTCAATTTCCCTTGTACTCTTTCTTAAATTTCATCTGTACTTATAGTACAAGTATCAGGTTGATTCACCTTTCAATCTACCTTTAATAGTAGCTCTTGTCCACTTTGAAAGGAATGCAAAGCGCTCACAAATTCTGGAATAAACTTACCAATGTACATTTCTTTAAAGGGTATGAAAAACTCTGGATCACTATATGTGGCAATTGGAAAAACTTGTGTCTCTGAAGAATCTTTTATTAAGGTACCAACAGAGGTCTTTGTGTCTTTCATAGTTAGTTAGTTATATAGTTATATAGTAAGTTGGTTGGTTTTATGGATAGATGGATATAGACATAGATGACATATTGTGTGTGTGTGTGTGTATATATATACATATATATATGTGTATGTGTATATATGTGTATATATATATATACACAGAGAGAGAGAAAGAAAGAGAGAAAGAGAGAGTTAGTGTCTCCTGTTTTGTTTGTAAGCACAAGGTGAAGCGTTAGAATCGGTGTTAGACCCATTTGGAGATCTTCTGAATTGAGCTCTATTATTGAGAGGAATCTAGAATTATAAGAGTTTTTCAGTATTGACCTTCTTCTTCCAAACCTCTACTCTTGTAGAAGAAGAAGAATTACTCCTGAAGTAGAATTTTATCAGAGCAAAGAAAGCATCAGTAAGAATTATTGAAGCTACAGCATTAGGCAACAAATTCAGAAAGAATTCCATGACTCAACATTGGAATTGACATTCATAAATGAGAGGTCAGAGAGATGCATTACACATTAACACACTGATTTTGACTGAAAACAAAGGAAATGAAATGTTTCTGGCAGTGAGTAAGCTGGATTTACCTGCTTGTCTGTCTGGCTTTGCCAATTAGGGTACAGAACAGACATTAAAAAAAAAACAAAACTGAAATATCCATATCTACAACTCCAAATTATTAATAAAATATATTTAAAACATATGACAAAAAGTAATTCATAAGAAGTGTGAGCAAATACATATTGAAATTAATGATATTCCAATTTCCTCAACGCCTTATGAATTTAACATATCAATCAAGGTACATTTGAGTGAAAGGGTAACAGTAGTAATTAAAAGTTATAAAATCTTGGCAGTAACTTTTTAGTAAAATTCCCAGAAAGTGAATGATCCATATGACTAGGTAACAAATACTTTTCCGGATCAGTTAGTTCCTAATGTTTTATTTCGTCAAAATTGGCAAAGGATGGCATTATTATCAAATAGAAGATTTAATATAACTTTTAAAGATGGGACACCATGCAATTATCTTTTGCTTGTAATAAAAATCTGATGATATTGCTTAAAAATTTTTTTTCTTTCCTATTGTTTATTGATATGTTGGAACAAATTTTCTCAAAGCTTTACACATATAAAATTTAAAGGAAGGCAAATAATTTATATTGAAATAATTTATATTAATTTATATTTCTAGCAAAACCCCCCCATAAACTAATTAACAGAGCTCTATCAATTCATTTATCAGTATTTTGTAGTCTATTGTTTCTGTACCTAAAAAAAAAAAAAAAAGATCTGTAGGACAGCCCCCCAGTCCCTCTGAGTTGTCTACCAAGGCAGTTCAAGTTTTCTCTCTAGGTATCAGTTATTGTTTACGTTAGTGGTCTAGTTATAAAATTATAAAATTTTGAGTGGTCTGTCCGTAGAGCTCTTTTCCAAAAACTCTTTGTTATTTTTAGTGCGGGTTTTACAGAATGTCAGTTTCCTTTCTTTAGAGATAGATAAATACGTAGATGATAGATATAGATAAGACAGATAATACAGCAGAAATCCTTGCATGTCTAAAACTGAACTCATCGTTTCTTGCCACCAATCATTCCTCCTCAAATTACTTTTCCAGCCGTCTCTATTTCTGCAAAGGCACTATCATTTTTACAGACTGAAAATTATGACAATTATGACTTTGTTTATGACATTTTAAATGTAACATAAATTCTCTGAATTTCTTTTTGTTTTGGGGGTGTTTTTTTGTAAAATTAAGGTTGACATAATCAGCGGGTTCCATATATCTGGTCCATAGACTTACAGTTACCTGAGATGTTAAAACATGCAATATTAAAATAAGTATATTTGGACTCCTGAGTCGCATTAACAGAGACTCTGACTTTGTTTTTAACACTGAATGGCAGAATTGTCAGAAGCAATCACTAGATATTTCTCAACTATACAGTAATTTGGTGACCCACAGGACTAATCATTTAAGAATATTTCTAGCTTTATCATTTTATTCCTTCAAGTCATTTGACATATTTCACCTGCCTTACATCAAATAAAGTAGTGTCTAGTAGATTCTAACTTCTCTTCTCCTGTCTCCTAAACTGCCTTTTGATCACCATTTCCTTAGTTTAGATATTTTTTAATTTTCTGTCTAAACTGATCTTTTTTCTTTATATCTTCTATATCGAAATAACATACCACTCAGAGTACCTTCATTGTTAAACATCATTTAAATACAAGTGAATTATTCCATATACTTCACCCTGTTATGGGAACCCCAGTCACATTACTCTAGATTTATTTTTCTAAGCAACTCACTCATTGCATTCTTAAACTGCATATGTATTAAAACAATACTGCTAGTTGCTATTTTAAAAAGTATATTCCACAGTTCATTTGTGTGTGATGTTGTTAATGTATTATCCTATGCCACAAAAAAACCTCTGTTAATGTTGAAGCATATCCACGTGTCAAATACTGTTCCAGTCTACCTTTTTTATGGAACAATTAATCATACCTAGTGAAATATCTGTAACCCAACTCTAGTAGTTAATAAGTACTATTGTATAATATTATAACATACTTCTAATATTACATATTATATTACTTCTTTTATTTTTCCTAAGTGTATTGCAAGTACCTTTAGGGCAGGGATATGTTTTGGTCATCTTCATATTTGTACTTTCCCTAGAACGTCTCTTCCAAATTGGAAGGCATTCCATAAATGTTATTTATTTGAGGTAAAATTACAATGAATAATAAAGTAAATATATAAGTGCTAAAAGTACTTTTCCTGACCCACCTATGGGAGAATTAATCTGAAAGAATGAGATAGGTATAATTGTCAAGATATTTACAAAGTAGATTTTTTTCCTAAATACTAATTCACGATTTTAATTGAATTAACCTCATAGATGATGGTTGTATCAAAAAATTGTGTTTTTTTGTTTTTGTTAGAAAGGAGACATGTAAAAGTTGTAAAAATCAAATTTTGTAGTAAATAGCAATTAGGTATTGACTAAGTTTTCCCTTTTATGTTTATTTTATTACATTGAATATTTACCCTTTTGATTAGATTTTTCTACATAGCAAGAAATGATAACATGTAAAACTAGTAGAGATCTCCAAATGTTAATTTTATAGCCTTACTTTCATTTTTTATATTTTCTTAAGAGTTAGCAAATTTACTAAACTTGCTTGTAGAAAAGAAATAAACTGTATCACTAAGGCTGTCTTAATACATGACAAGGAAATAAACTGTGAAATAATTAAATCAGTCTAATAGTTTCCCTGTAGTCAATCTAAGTGATCATATGAAAAATAAACTCATATAAAGTTATGTGTTGTTAGTGGCATGAGATAAGCATTATAGCAACATTTCATAACTCTTTTGCTGATGCCACAAACCCTTTGTATTATGATATCAATGTAGATGTGAGCTGATAGAACATGAGCTAAAGGTATATGAAAATATTGAAAACTATTTGAAATCAAGTAGTGTAAAATAAATGCATACATCTCTTTTCAAAAGTATGGGGGGCTTCCCTGGTGGCTCAGTGGTTGAGAGTCCGCCTACCAATGCAGGGGACACGGGTTCGTGCCCCGGTCCGGGAAGATCCCACATGCCGCGGAGCGGCTGGGCCCATGAGCCATGGCCGCTGAGCCTGCGCGTCCGGAGCCTGTGCTCCGCAGCTGGAGAGGCCACAACAGTGAGAGGCCCGCGTACCGCAGAAAAAAAGCAAAAAACAAAAAAAAGTATGGGAAGATAGGTTCTAGCTACATTATATAAAAAAACCAAATATTCTGATCAATTAAGTCAAATGCCAATCAAATCGGTTTAAAAAACAAAATCAAATAGTCTAAGATATTAAACACCTCTATAATTTTCAGGATTCTTTTTTTTTTAATTTATTTAATTAATTTATTTATTTTGGCTGCATCGGGTCTTAGTTGTGGCTCGGGTCTTATTTGTGGCATGCGGTGTCTTCATTGAGGCGTGTGGGATCTTTTCACTGTGGGCTGGCTCTTCACTGTGGCGTGCAGGCTTCTCTCTAGTCGTGGCGTGAGGGTTTTCTCTCTCTAGTGCAGTGTGCAGCCTCCAGGACGCATGGGCTCTGTAGTTTGCAGCACATGAGCTCTCTCATTGAGGCCGCAAACTCAGTAGTTGTGGCACACAGGCTTAGTTGCCCCCGGCATGTGGGATCTTAGTTCCTGGACCAAGGATCAAACCTGCGTCCCTTGCATTGGAAGGCAGATTCTTTACCACTGGACCACCAGGGAAGTCCCAGTTTCCGGGATTCTTGAACAGTACATGGAGTCAGTATATATTAAAAAGAATTATAAATATTTGCAATTTTACAGACTTCGATAATTTTCTAATGATGGTTTTAAAATATGCATAAATACATAACAATATACTCAAATTTTGACTTTTTGTGAATATGTAGATATGTATTATGCTTTTTTTCCTTATCAGAGTAAACTTACTCTTTTGGTTTGTTCTTTAAGGGCTGCAAGTACTCCTTCCAGACTACCTTCAGGAGCGTTTTGTACAAGCAGCTTTGAGCTACATTGCTTGCAATTCAGAGGGAGAGTTTATCTGCAAGGACAATGACTGCTGGTGTCAGTGTGGTCCCAGATTTCCAGAATGCAACTGCCCCTCCATGGACATTGAAGCCATGGAGGAGCATCTTCTTCGCATAACTGAAACCTGGAAATCCTACAACATCGACTTTGAGGAATCAGGTAAGACATATATTTTATCTAACACTTCTAAACTTTGCCAAAAAAATTGCCATATTGAGAAGACTGTTTTACCCTTTTGGGAGAAACTACAACATACTTGGAGGATTTTATTCAATTTATCCTTATTATTCTTTCAAATGGACATGTGTATTGCTTTCATTATTGGTTATTCAGTATTTTACTGAAAGCCTATATGGTACTTTGTGTATTGCTATGTACTATTGGCACTAGGACCTAGCCTGCTCTTGAGCTGATTTATTAGTCATTTAATGAAGAAAGTCCTTGCCTTTCTCAATATAAGAATTTAAATTGTTGACTGAAAAAAAATGCACAACCTAGAAGTTGAGAATTATGTATTTATGTTTTATTGGGCGGATTTTCTGAGCACTTCAAGCCCAGGAGACAGGACTCTCAGATCGCTCTGAGGGAGGGCTCCAAAGAGGTAAAGGAGGAGCCGGGATATATAGGAGTTTTGGAAGACTCCTATATAGAGTCCAGGTAGTCGGAACAGTATCAAAAAATACTGTTAATTAAGGAAAACCAGGTATCTCAAGTTAAGGAATTTAGTGCTTTTCTGGGTATGGGAAAATGCAAAGTCAAAGCTCACTGAACTCTTTCCTTTGATATGCACCTCAGCTATCTGGGGCCAGATAGCTGAGGTGCTATCCTGGCTTTAGGTGCCATCCTGGTGATAGAAACCTATCCTGTGCTTTGTCATCCTCAGCCTCCTCAGGGCACACCATACGAGGGTGGCTGCAGAGGCTGATAGCTTGAGAGCTGGTATCTTGTTTCCATCCTGAGTTCCCTCAGGGCTCACAACAGGGTGGCTGTAGTGGCTGAGGTGGCTGATGGCTACAACAGCCTTTGTTTCTTGTTTATTGATATGGCAGGCAGCGTTCTTAGTCCAATACCTCTGATACCCCTCTGGACTATTCACATGGCCCCTGAGATTCACTTGTGAGGGAAGATCCAAAGTGTGAATGTTCTATACTTCCTTTACGTTAAAGTGAATCTCATGCACGTGCACTTTCACTCAACTACTTCTTTTTCAACCAAATTCAGATCAGTTTTGACTTAATGTTTGTGCAGTTTGTTTTTGTTATTTCTGAATTTTTATGAGTGCGTAATTGTGTTTTCAATATTGTTACTTATGGACTGTGTAACCTGTAATGGCCTTCATTTCATAAAGCAATGAACTTTAATAAAAGGTTAAGAATGCCTCAACATGAAATGAAAAATATTGATAACAACATATATAATCATTCATGATAATAGAATAATAAAAATCCCCAGAATGTGATGAGTGTAATTATGTAGCATTTAGTCAAAAGTGTTGGACATGGCTAACTTTCAAAGTGACAAGAGAGGTTTTAACTGCCCTGAGATCAGATGTATATGTTTGAATGTCATAATTTTTCCAGTGATTCATTTAACCAAGCACACTTAAAAATGATAATGAAATTTAACATACATTCACAATAAAAACACTTAATTTAAGCATAGAAGGAACATATTTCAACATAATAAAAGCCATATATGACAAGCCCACAGCTAACATCAGACAAGAAAAACCACAATTGATGGTTTCAACAAACCCTCATCTTTTTGTGTAGTAGAACCACCAAATTATAAAGTAAAAGAGTAGGTAAATAGATTTAGAAAGAGTTAATAGATTTAGATTTTATTAAGATATATTTTGATCAAAATAGTGTATAATATATAATCCTCCTCTATTAGGGTAATATTTCTCTCTATACAAATAGCAAAAACTGTCTAAGAATCAAAAAGTCATATCTCCTTGACGTTGTTGAAATGCATTTATTTCTAACCTCAAATTCTTCTTTTGTTTTTCCAATAGAATACTCATAAGTAATGTATTGGAAATCTAATATGTTATATTCAAGTAGAACCATCTGATGTTAAAAATAATCATGAAATGCAACACTTTTAGATAATGTATAATGTGTTATACCAGGGAATCTCAGAACCCCCGTATTTGTGGAACTCACTTAGGATTGCCACCCCTATTATTTTGCCTTGAGACTATATTTTTAAAAATCACCAAATGAGCATTGGGTTTTTTGTTTCCAGGTGAAATGTAGTAGATTGAAGTAGTCCAATACTTCTATTGATAGTAACTAAAAAGTTGAATAATTTTTAAAATTATATTTTTAAAGACATAATAGATCATAAAAGTAACAACTAAATAGACTAAAATTCATGGCGTGAGAAGTGTGGGATCCATAGCTTGTTTCCTTCCTTTCTTCCTTTCTTTGTTTCTCTTTCTTTATTTCATTTTATTCATTAATTTATTTAATTCTGAGAACAGAGCCTGAGGGCTCTGCATTTCCCCAGGCAGAGAGTGGCTGATGGGAGAAAGAAAAATCAACACACTTCTAGCGATTATGGAGACTAGAATGACAAAATTCTGGACTCAGTGAGCCTAAGGAAGTTCAGTTTTACCACAAGATATTTGCTGAATTTCAGATAGCGCTGGATGCTAAAGAACTACTCAAAAGTCTCTTCAAACTTAATGAAGTTTACCACAGACTTGAGGTGCTTAAGAGATAAAAACTCTCTAGAGGGAAGAGCTTGGAAATAAAACAGGGAAGGATGGAAAACCCCCGAGGGAATGAGGAAGTGACACTGTGTTTCTATAACTGCTTTCCCCTGGGGCACATTTATCAATTCAGGGCAGAGTTAGAAGCTGAGAATCTAGGACTAGTCCCTGAAAAATGCTGGCATTCCAGGACAGAGAAATCAGAAGAAAATTTGGCAGTCATAGTAGATTAAAGTGAGAAAATTGGAGGCTTAGGAGTTTTAAATATATGACCAGTCTTCTCTTTAAGACATTTGCCTTAACCCGTGGAGGATGTTCCTAAAGAGGTAAACTGAAACGTCTGAATGATAGCATTGAGTCTTCTGCAGTGTTACAGGCCTGAAGTAGCAAACAGTCACCAGGTCCTTAACTGAAAGTTCTGCAGGGCCATACCCTAAGAACAGGGGAGAGTCAGAGCCAGACTGAGTTCTCTACAAGTATAACCCCACACTGATATAGCTCATATCCTGATTTTTTTAGGATCAACTCCCTGTTACATATGAAGAGAGTGACGTCTTGAGGAGGAAAACATTTTCTAAAATCTCTGCAATTTTTTTTTATTTACGATGAACATAAAACTCTAATTTACAACATATATGAGCAGATAAGACCTTATGGCTAATATCAAAAAGAAACCAGGTAACAGATGTAAGATGATCCAGATATTGAAATTAATAGGAACAATTTTCAGATAATTATTATTAAAATGCTCAAAAAATAAAAGGAAAGGAAGGATAAAGTAGATGGAGATATTGAAAAGTTCACCAGAGATTTGGAATCTATACAACTGGACTGAAGGACCTTCTAAAACATAAAAATGCAGTATCTGAAATAAATAACTCAAAATTTTGTTTTCGTAGGAGTCTTGGCATAGTGGGGAACAGGATTAGTGAACAGTAAGAGAGGTTAATGGAATAGATAGAAATGAAAGCAGTGAGAAAAGCAACAGTGAAATATTGGATAGATGCATGGCAAGCATGTGAGATAGGCATGAAATTTTTTTCAACTGAAAACTTCCAAATTCAACCTACAGATTCAAAAAGCACAGCAAACACAAAGAATGATTAATACAAAGAAAACCACACATAAGTGTATCATAGTAGATCTGTTGGAAAAAAGACAGAAAAAAATTCTTCTAACATAACTAGAGAAAAAAGACATTACTTTCATTGGACTCGTAATGAGCCTGACTTATCAAAACAAAAACAAAAACAGATTTTTGACATATTTAAAGTGCTAAAGAAAATAACAGTCAATCTAGAATTATGTAACATTCCACAAGAGTTTCAAAAATGAAGGTGAAAATAAAGATGTGTTCAGACAAGAAATGCTACATGAAAACATAGATGTGAAGGGGAAGAGGAATTCTAGAGATGGCAAATATACATGAGTAAATACAAGTGAATATCAACCTTACAAAATAATAATTATGAGGTGATGTGAACATAAAATATATGTAGAATTCTAATATATGATAATAGTGTTATAACGGGTGGTGAATGGAAAGTGTTAATATTCGAAGTCTCCCAAGGTACTGGCATTGTTGAGGATGAGCTAAGAGATGTAATTTGCATTAGAGTGAAATAAATCAAGAATAATATAATCTCTGGAATATCTACTAAAATAAGAATGTTTAATTATAGTCAAGAAAATAAAATAAGATAAAAATTATTTGATCACTCCATAATAAGAAAGTAAAGTAGAAAACAGGAGAAAAATCATCTGGGTCAAATAGATCAATGCAGCAGAAAGAGAAAGGTTTGGATTGTCTTTACAATAAATGTGTTGGGTCAGATTAATTCCACTGTAATGGTTATTATATTAAATATTCTATTTTATTACACTAAATAGTCTAAATAAAAGACTAATATTGTAGGACTGGTGATTAATAATAAAAATAAGTAAAAGACTATTTGCTGTTTACTAGAGACCTGACTGATAAAGACATAGATAAACTGAGGTTGAATGGTGGAGAAATATGTAATGTAAACACTAGCCAAAAAATACTAAGGTAAATTTGAAAGCAAGATACATTAATTGAGATTTAAAATGATTTCATAATAATAAAGTAGTCAATCCAACAGGAATCAATATCATAATTATTAATTTATATGAACTGCAAAGTAAAAATTACACCACACCAGTTAAACGGGCAAGTAAGACTGCTAAAGACTCTTGTAATAAAGGATAGAGACTTACAATAGGGAAGGAAGATTGAACTCAACTCCTCTGATACAAAGCACAGGAGAATTTTTAAAACTTGGGATTAGCTCATAGAAAAGTACCAGAGGACAGTAGCAGGGAGAATGGTCGACATTTCTGCAGTATCAGTTGTAACTTCTCCTCTTTCATTTCTTATTTTGTTTATTTGGGTCTTCCCTCTTTTCTTCTTGGTGAGCCT